CGCCGTTGCCGGGGATTAGCAACTTTGCTAATCCCTTGGTTCTTTTCTTTTTGTTTAGTTTGTTTCTGTTTTAGTTTCTGACTTAGTTTTGTTTTCCTTGTTTTGTGTTACTTTTGATATTTGATTTAGTTCTCTTTCTTTGATTTTAGGTACTAGAGAAGTAAGACATGGATTTTGCTAGCATTCAAGCTCAATTAGCAAATCTTACTTCTCAATTGTCACAGATTGCCGAAAGTACCACAATGCAAAGTGTCCCTACATTTGGTGCGTCTTATAGGCAAGGATACCAAGCCAATCTATATCCACAAAGCGATTGGAGTGATCATTCAAACTCTATGTGGTGGGAAGCTCAACAAGTTCAACACAAAGCATATTGGCAGCCATATGAAGAGTTCTATTCAAGACCTATGCAGCCACCACAACCTCATATACAATATGCTCAATCAAATTTAGGTTCGTCAATAGATTATAATCAAATTCTTAATGAATTAAATTCTTTGTTGCAGGGCTCACAAAATCAAGACAAGGAGGATCAACAAGGTGGATATTGGCAGCAAGAAGAGGAGTTTTATCATTGGCCATATGAACTATCACATCCATCACAACAATTTGCCCAATTCAATTCAGGTACGTCTTTGGATAATGATATGTTTAATAAGTTACTCACCTCTTTGTACCAGGAAGTAGAAAATCGAAACAAAAGAGATGCCAATTCAAAACCAAGAAGACGGGTGAATTGGAGAAGCATATTGGGCAGATTATGGAGTTCATGGCACACATTCAAGAGCAAAGTGAAGTTTCCAACTCAACTATTGAAAAATTCGAAGGAAGATTTTGAAATCCATGATGCTATCACTTTGGGAAGGGCTATGGAGGTTGGAGCTGACCTAAAAAACGTCCAAACATTGCCTAGAAGTGGATGAGGAGCTGCTGATTGAGGAGGAGGAAGAAGACATACACACGGCAAGGGTAGAACAACCCTTGCCGCAACCCCTAAGCCTTCTAACCCACCCACCACAAGTAAGGACGTCCCAATTTCATTTCATTCTAATGTTATTCCTCCCAATGTCCCTTTTCCTAGCAGGTTTTTGATTCCCAAGCAAGAAGAGAGTGAAAAAGACATTGTGGCAGCTCTTCCAAAGGTGCAAAAGGATATTCCAATTCTTGGTGCAACAAAAGCAAGTTCTAGATCGTGTTGAATATTTCAAAGGCCTTTGTTTCCCAAGAAGAATGATTCAAGAGAAAGTAGTGGCTAAAGAATGTCAAGACTTCATCAAAGAGAGGACAAATTTGAAACAACAAAGCCCAAAAGAAGTTGAATTTGATGACATTGGACAAGTCACAACCATCATAGTAAATCTGGCCAAATCCAATATCCCTGAAACGTTCAAAGGAGTGGTGTTTGTCATTGAGTTCTTGTCGGACAAAGCAAGTAAGTCATCTTCTCCAATTTCCATTACATTTTATTACTAACTTGCTGATTTTTGATGAATCAGGTACCTACACTAGAATCTAAACCAATGCCGGTTCATTTCAAGTATCATCGTCCATTCAAAGATCAAATCCATGCCGTGGACCTAGGAATTGCTCTAACAACCAGATTTGAGTTTCTAAAACCTTCACTTTGTTGCTTGTTTCTAATCTGCCAGTTTTGTTTTTAACTTGCTGTTTGTGTGTTTCTTTGTGTTTTGTGTGAGTTTATGCTTGAAACATTGAGGACAATGTTTGATTTAAGTGTGGGGGGGGGTAAATAAGTGTTTTTGATGCAAATTCGTGGGATTTTATCACCCTTTACTTATAGACTTGTTCCTTGCTGTTTTTAAACTCTTTTGGTGTGTTTTAGGGTGTTTTGAAGTAAAAATCCGAAAATCACATAAAAATTTGAAAAATTGGTTTTAAAAACCCAAAAAGAGTTGTTTTTGTGTGTTTGTTTGTGTCTTAGGGTACCTTCCAACACAATGATGAGGATTCGGTTTGTAATTACATGGCTGTTAAAGAGAGTGATTAACGTGGATGAAAGTTTGATTTACTCTTTGTTTATGCTTGGTTGTGGTTATAACTTATGAATTCACATGCAATCATAAAAGAAAAAAATCAGTTTTTGTAACATGCTTGAAGGAAGGAACTCAAACTAACGCTACAACCTTGTGAGACCTGAGCCTAAAAGTTTATTTGGAGAGTTAAAATCTGTGCATTCTTTGTTTTCTAAGTCGTTGCGTGATCTCATTATTCCTTGCTTGGTTACTATTTAGAAGGCGTTTCATCATTTAGTTCCAAATGCTAGAACTCATGCCCATTTCATTCAAAGCATGTTATTGATTTGCATAACACATATTCAAGATGAAGTTGAAGTTGTGTAGTGACCACCACCTTAGCCAAATGCCGTGTGCCCTATGTCATTATGTTTTGTAGGTTTTTAACCCCGTTGAGCCTTGTTAGCTTTCATTATTTGTTAACCCATGTTTTCCTCACCTAGCCTAGTTTAGGACCATCCATACCCTTGTTCTTAAAGCATAGTAAAGCATGATTCGAATTGAATTCCTTTTGATCTATGTTAGCAGAAAACAAGTGTGGGGGAAGTGTTTTCATGAGGAATTGTGTGCCATAGGCACGGCAAAGAAAAGAAAAGAAAAAAAAAGAAAAAAAAAGAAAATTTCGTGGAAAAAGAAAAAAAATTGAAGAAAAAAGTATGAAAAGTTTGAAAAAAGAGTTGAAAAGTTGAGAAAAAGAGTTCCAAAGTATTGTTTGTTGAAGTAAGGGTCCAAAACAATGAATTCGGCCCTAAGGAGTTGTTTAAGTCTTCCCCTTGTGTTTTAAAGTTAATTTCTGCAATCTAAGTGAATTCTAAGTCTCAATTTCATTGCTTTGCTTACTATTGCTTGAACAACGTTTGTTTTCCCTATCCTTTCCTTGTTAACCAACACCCCAAGCCCCATTACAACCCTTAACTTCTATCTTGAGTGTTATGTGTTTCAATTTGTGGAGTTTGAATTTGGTATGAGCATATGGTGTCACTGGTTCTCGCATCTAAGTAGTAGCATTCCATTCATGAGATCATATCTAAACATGCTTCTTAACTCTAGAAATTGCGTTCTTTGTGAAACATATATGTGAGCATTCGTTTTCATATCTACATCAATCTTCTCACATATGACTAGTGTAGGGTGTGGAGTTAGAAAATCTGAGTGAAAATAGAGTGTATATCTTGTAAGGAATTGAGGGAATTCTCTAAGGCATGTTACTACATTCAAAGCATTGTTTTAATTGGTTAAATGTGAACTAGTACGTGGTGACTATGATTAAGTATGTGCTTAAGTGTGAAGATGACTAAAATCTGTGGGAGTGATGATTTTTAACATGTCATGTGCATTGGAAATCCCTGAGGCAAATGTTGGAAGGTTTAGATTGTGTTTTTGTTTTGTTTGGTTTCTTTGTTTTGCTCGAGGACTAGCAAAAGCTAAGTGTGGGGGAATTTGATAGGAGCATATTTATGCGACTTAGTTGGCTTGTTCTTAAGCATTTATGTTGTTTTTCTTTAGTTATTTTAGTGTTTAAAGTCATTTTCGTGCAATTTCAGGTTTAGAGACGAAGTATGCAAAGAAGTGCAAAATGGAGCATTTTAGAGCAAAATTGAGCTAGAATGGAGTGTATGCTAATGGAGCACAAGGAATGGACGAGTTTGAAGGTCAAAGGAGCTTAAGAAATGAAGAAATGAAAGTGAAGAACAAAGAATTCAGATTTGGAAACCAAAGTTTCTAAAGTTGGAAGTTTCTATTCTTGGAGGTTTCCATTTTCGAGAGTTTCTATTCTTGGTTTTGGGCTTTTAGATGACCTAAACCCTAATTCCTTGTGGACCCTAACCCTAGCCGCACCTAGGCCTCTAGAATATCTGATTTCCTTGCCTTGCAAGGCATTCTAGAAGGCCCATCTCTAAACCCTAACCCTAGCCGCACCTTAGGCCTTATTCCCACTAAAAATCTGATTGTTTTAACCTAATTTCTGGTGGATTTGGGCTTCTAGAAACCCTAATCTGATTACCCTAGGGTTTTGGATGCCTATATATACTCATTATAACCCCTAGATCAGATCACCACCTCTCATACACAATCATTCACGCCAGAAATCTGCCCTTGCATTCTGCCGCACCTTCCCATCACCAAAATCCCAAAATTCTGCCCAAAAATCATCCCTAGCCGTACCCCCATCAACCCTAAACCTTTCCCTACCCTTTCAAATACTTCACCACAAGGGGGCACGGCAATATGATCAGATTCCATGCCGTGGGTTGCAAGGATTCCCCCACACTTATTTCTTGCTCCTATGCCGTGCACTAAGGCTATTTCAAGTGCATCGTCGTTCATTCGATCCAAATGTACCTGTGCCAAAGAATCAACAATGTCAATAGCAAAACAAGAATGGTCCTCAATTGGATATTTAATGGTTTCAGAAAGATTAAAACGAATAATGTCCCCATCAAACTCCATGGTCAATGTTCCCATGAACACGTCTATCTTTGTTCTTGCTGTCTTCATGAATGGTCGGCCTAGCAAGATTGGCAATGATGGAGCATGGCTCGAATCCTCCATTTCTAAGACATAAAAATCTGCAGGAAAGATAAGATGATTGACCTGCACTAAAACATCTTCAAGGACTCCCTTGGGATATGTGTTAGAACGATCGGCCAATTGAATTATAACACCATCCTGTTTTAACTCACCAAGGTTCATTGATGCATAAATGGAATATGACATAACATTAATAGAAGCACCTAGATCTAACATGCATTGTTCAAATCTAGTGTTTCCAATTATGCATGGGATAGTAAAGCTTCCTGGATCCTTACACTTTGGAGGTAACTTTTGTTGCAAAACCGCGGATACATTTTCACTTACTTTCACAACTTCTTTAGTTGAAATTCTTTTCCTAGTTGTGCATAAAAACTTTGCATACCTGGGCACTTGCTTAATAGCATCAAGTAAAGGAATGTTTACTTGGACTTTTCAAAAGGTATCCAAAATGTCCTTTTCGCTTTCTTCCTTCTTCGATTGTGCAAGTCTGCGAGGGAAAGGAACATTGGGCAGATTAGTGTTCGAAATCACAACATTTGGGACAATCTTACCTGAGGTGGACGGATGGGAGATCTTAGATAGCTGCGGCATGGTTGGTGCTACCCTTGCCGTGGGGTAAGTTTGCTCCTCTTCTTCGATTTGTATCTTTTCATCTTCCTTGTTTCTCACTTCTTTTCCACTTCTTAGTGTGATAGCTTGTGCAGATTCGAAACCACCCTTTGGATGGACCACTGTAGTGCTTGGTAACTTACCATTTTCATGAAATTGTCCCAAACATTTGGCCATTTGGCCCATTTGCTTTTTTAGCTCATTAACCTCCTTTGCTTGGTTCTGCATTCCCTGCGCCAGTGTGGTTAGTAACTGATATGTTTTATCATCATTCATAGACGTACCTGGGTTGGTTTGGGATGATTGTGCTTGAGGAGGTGGTTGTTGTGCCATTGGCCTTGGAAGGAAATCCGGGGGTTGTCGGAATCCACTTTGTTGGCCATATTGTGGTGCATCTCTCCATCTGAAATTGGGGTGGTCACGCCATCCCGGATTGTATGTATTGGAGAAAAGATCACCCCTTGGTTGGTTTTGATTTCCATAACCCACAGCATTTGCAGATTCCCACCCTCCATTCTCAATTAATTGAGGGCATTGATCAGATTGGTGTCCTTGAATGGAGCATACACCGCAGATTGTAGTTCCTTGTGCTTTGGGGCCTTCAACAAACTGCGATAACATAGACGTAAGGTTAGCCATTTGGGATTGTAACTCAAAGATAGAGCTTACCTCAATTACATGATGTGGCCGTGGGGTGTCTCTTTGCCCAACACCTTCATATTCTTGTGCATTGAGTGCTCGATTAGCAATGAGAGTTTTTGCATCCCTAGGTGTCTTGTCCACTAGAGCTCCTCCAGCGGATGCATCCAACATTTGTCGTTCAAGTGGTAAAAGACCTTCGTAAAAGTATTGAAGAAGTAGCTCCTCCTTCATCTGATGTTGTGGACAAGAAGCAACAAGTGATTTAAATCGTTCATAATAAGATGGAAAAGATTCACCTTGGCTTTGCTGAATTCCACTAATCTTCTTGCGAAGAAGAATGACTCGTGATGTCGGAAAGAACTTCTCTAAGAAGGCTCGCTTCATATCTCCCATGATGTGACGGTTCCAGGAGCGAACTTATACAACCAATCCTTGGCCTTCTCCATCAAAGAAAAGGGAAAAGCTTTCATCTTCAATATGTTGCTATCCACGTTCACCGGTGTCATACTTGAGCATACTACTTCGAATTCCTTTAAGTGCTTATTGGGGTCCTCCATTGATAACCCATGGAATTTGGGTTATGATGTAGCAAACTTGACCTTAACTCAAATTCAGCGGTCTTCTCAGGGTCTGTCGTAGGGTATTGGATGCAAAGAGGGGCTGCATTGGCCAAACCCGAGGCAGAAAGCTCCTTGATGGTTCGATTGTCTACTGCCATGGTTGGTACCTCCTCTTCAACCTCAACTTCTTGCTCTTCTAATTCAGGTTCGGGACTAGGAGGATTAGACTTTTGCAACCTCTTTTTCCTTCTCAAAGTCCTCTCAAAATCACTGTCAAAGTCAAAGATATGCTCACGAACAGGTTGTGAGTTGCGTGTCATAAACTAGTACCTACACACAAGAGCAAACAAAGTTAGTAACCAACTTAATAGACTCGGCACAAGTAAGGAAATAAGGTGCCTATACACGGCAAAAAAACAAAACACACCCACGGTGCAAAATTAAAACAAAACAGAAACTAAACAATTTAAACAAGACTCAAGACAAGGGATTAGCGACTTTGTCAATCCCCGGCAACGGCGCCAAAATTTGATGCATAAAATAACTAAACACACAAATTAACCCTATTTGTGACAATTGTAGTAATGATGTAAGTAGGGATCGTTCTAACCGGGGATTAACTAGGGGTGCTCATCTAATATAAATTGATTCAAAAACGCAAAAACTAAACTTAAAGACTCTAACAAGACTACTATGACTCAAAACAGATTTAAAGCATTCAAAACTGCCTAAAACAATCAAATTGACTCAAAAAGAAACTAGAACTTGATTTGGACGAATTCCAAAGTGTTTATGACTCCAAATGCTTAAGAACACAAAATAACACAGATTTGAATGACTAAGACTCAACAAAATATGGGGGAATTGTATTTGGACGAAATTAAAGTAATTTGGCAGATTATAAAGAAAACAGATTGTAAGACAAAATTATGATGAATCAATGGATGATGGAATAGCTAAGGGTTTCTTTTCCACACATGAAATATATGCAACGTAAATCAAATTCCAGTTATCAATTCATTAAGTTATGAACCTCGACACTCCAAGTTAATTAGGTCCGCTTAAATTAACCTTTAGATTTCCCTAGAATCATTGAATTGGATGAATATGCATCGCAAACAAATTATTCCTAACAAGTTCTATTTATGACAGCATGATAAAGACACAGGTTAGAATCATTACGTTCTTTGGAAATCATAAGCATCGACAAGGCATTTGTAACTATGAAAAGCATGATACTTTTGCCAGGAATCTACTTAACACGATCGTGACTAGCGACCTTTACTACTTGCGAATATAAATTCATAACGATTAGGTGAAACAAATTTATATCCTAGCACCAAATTCAAACATGCAAATCAACCGTGCACTCTCAATCAACATTCAAGAATAAGTTCTAAATCCAACGGTTAAGCAAATTGTATCCACAACTTGTGCAACGATAACTCGAAGTAATCAACTTATTTCACATATATAATCATGGTTTTGAATACACCACTAGCCAAAACAAAATTAGCCAATCATACTTAAAGCAAAACAAAGATTACATGAATTAGACATTAAAATCCAAAGAAAGAAAACACCTAGAATGCTCCAACTTGGCAGCAAGTGCATCCAAGATTCCTCCTTTCCCTTGCTTGCGGCAGATTGGGTTGTGGACAGATTTTGGGTAGTTTTATGGTGTAGAATGGATGAGGAATGGTATGGAAAGGTTTAGGGTGAGTGTGGAGGAGTGTTTGATGGTTGGAGGGTGGTGGAGAACTCGGCAAAAAGGGTGGAAGAGGGTGGAGTGGCTGTTATGTTTTCTGGGCACTAGAATGGTGTTTTTGGGGTGTTTTGCTGCCTAGGGTGTGTATGGACGAATTTTCTGTGATGAATGATGAATATGGGAGATGGTAACCTTGGCCAAGGGGTGTAAACAAGTATATATAGGCCCCAAATACCCTAGAGAATCAGGTTAGGCAATGGGGAAATGCATAGCAAGAAGGGTGAATTTGTGGTGTGCAATGGTCCAAGGATGAAAATGAAGCAATGATGCAAAGTATGGAGGGTAAAATGGAGTGGTATTTCAGCTAGGGGGCATGAATGATTGTGTACATTGCAGAGAAATGAAAAGGGGAGGTGAAATGTTTCAGAAATTAGTCAAAGGTGCAGCAACATGTGTTGCACACGGCATAGGATCCTAAAGGTGGCTGATAGAGCATCAATTGGTGCATGTCATGGTTGTGAAAGTTGTGTGAAATCTGATGGGTGAAGGGAACAAGAGGTATCCAGTAATTGAGTGTAATAATTTAGTGTATTGAGGCATGAAATCAGAAATAATGTAGGGGACAAAGGTGATTAAGCATGGCATGGGAATCCAAAGGGAATACAAGGTGATTTGCACGGCAAGAATGGTGAATTTTGGAGTGACATCCTATTGTGGCTGAGTTCTTTATCCTTTGTACAATAATTCTTCACATTCTTAGCCTCTTTAGTCTTCAATTTCGTCCATCCACCTTGCTCCATGCATTTGCTATCCATCCAAACCCGAAACTGCTCCAAAGGCCTCCAAAATGCATCTTATTGCATACTTTGTTCTTAGAATCTGAAAACACACAAAAACGACTTTAAACACTAAAATAACTAAGAAAACACAACGTAAATGCGCAAGAACAAGCTAACTAAGTCGCGTAAATATGCTCCTATCACATGTGACACATAAGGTTTCAACACCTTACCACCCCCAAACCAATGGCCAAGCCGAGGTGTCAAATCGTGAGATCAAACAGATTTTGGAGAAGACCGTTGGGCCAAATAGAAAAGATTGGAGCTTACGGTTGGATGATGCACTATGGGCGTATCGAACGGCTTACAAAACCCCCATTGGTATGTCTCTTTTTAGGCTTGTGTATGGTAAGCCCTGCCATCTACCCGTGGAATTAGAACATAGAGCGCATTGGGCCATCAAGACCTTCAATTTGAATGTGGACCAAGCTGGAATTCATCGAAAGCTTCAATTGAGTGAACTTGATGAGATAAGGCATGAAGCTTATGAGAATGCTAGAATTTACAAAGAGAAGACCACGGCATTCCATGATAAGATGGTTCGAGGCAAGACTTTCACACTTGGGCAGAAAGTGTTGTTGTTCAACTCCCGTCTTCGTCTATTCCCTAGTAAGTTACGTTCCAAGTGGGTTGGCCCGTTTGTTGTTACTAATCTTTTTGTGCATGGTGCAGTCCAAATTAAGAGCTTGAGAACCGGGCAAGAATTCAAGGTGAATGGACATCGATTGAAGCCATACTACGAGAACTTTGTAGAGCATGTTGTGGAGGAGATCCCACTGCATGCCGTGGGTTCCAAGGAGGAGTAAAGGTGTTCTCTGTCCTGCTGTACGACGTTAAAGAAAGCGCTACGTGGGAGGCAACCCATGCATTCAACAAAGGAAGACTTAGGAATCACTCCAATTCCAGATTTGCGTTCCTAAAACCCTTCTCATTGTTGATTCTTTCTAATCTGCCCAGTTTACTTGTTAAGTTGCTGTTTGTGTGTTTACTTTTGTTTGGTGTGATTTTATGCTTGGAACATTTAGGACAATGTTTGATTTAAGTGTGGGGGGGGTAACTAAGTGTTTTGATGCAGATTCGTGGGATTTTATCACCCATAACTTCAAGTGTTGTTCCTTGCTGTTTTTAAGTGTTTTAAGCTGTTTTGGTGTGTTTTAGTATGTTTTGTTCTAAAAATCCGAAAATCCCAGAAAAATTTGAAAAATTGTTTTGAAAAAACCAAAAAGAGTTGTTTTTTATTTGTTTTTGTGTGTTTGTTTGTGTATTAGGGTACCTTCCAACACAATGATGAGGATTTCGTTTGTAATTACATGGCTGTTAAAGAGAGTGATTAACATGGATGAAAGTTTGATTTACTCTTTGTTTATGCTTGGTTGTGGTTATAACTTATGAATTCACATGTAATCATAAAGAAAAAATTAGTTTTTGTAACATGCTTGAAGGAAGGAACTCAAACAAACGCTACAACCTTGTGAGACTTGAGCTTAAACGTTTATTTGGAGAGTTTGTTTTCTAAAGTCGTTGCATGATCTCATTATTCCTTGCTTGGTTACTACTTAGAAGGCGTTTCATCATTTAGTTCCAAATGCTAGAACTCATGCCCATTTCATTGAAACCATGTTATTGATTTGCATAACACATATTCAAGATGAAGTTGTGTAGTGACCACCACCAAAGCCAAATTGCCGTGTATCCTACTTCATTATATGTTTAAGTTAACCCCATTGAGCCTTGTTAGCGTACATTCTTTGTTAACCCACGTTATCCTCACCTAGCCTAGATTAGGACCATCCATACCCTTGTTCTTGAAGCATAGTAAAGCATGATTCAAATTGAATTCCTTTTGATTAATGTATGGCAAAAAACAAGTGTGGGGGAAGTGTTTCTCATGTGAGTTAGTGTGCCATAGGCACGGGTAGAAAAGAAAAATTCGTGAAAAGAAAGAAAGAAAAAAAAAGTGTGAAAAGTATGAAAAAAAAAAGAGTTGAAAAGATGTGAAAAAGAGTTCTAAAGTATTGTTTGTTGAAGGAAGGGTCCAAAAAGTTGAATTTGACCCTAAGAGTT